TCTCTTTCACCTTTATCATATTTATAGTTCATAACAGGGCTAGTATGAAATACAGCCCATCATTAAAAGATCTTTAACACATGTACCATGCTTTTGTTGCTTCTGGCCATGACTAGGCAATAAAAATCCCCTCTTCACAGGTGCGTTCTACGTGTTCTAGCTGGTCAATAGATAAATTGTATCATTACCAATATCATTGACCATGTTGCCAGACATCTGACAATGTAGACTGAGAATCTGAAAATGATCATGTTGACAGACATCTGACAATGTAGACTGAGAATATGAAAATGATCATGTTGACAGACATCTGACAATGTAGACTGAGAATATGAAAATGACCATGTTGCCAGACATCTGACAATGTAGACTGAGAATATGAAAATGATCATGTTGACAGACATCTGACAATGTAGACTGAGAATCTGAAAATGACCATGTTGACAGACATCTGACAATGTAGACTGAGAATATGAAAATGACCATGTTGACAGACATCTGACAATGTAGACAGAGAATCTGAAAATGACCATGTTGACAGACATCTGACAATGTAGACTGAGAATATAAAAATGATCATGTTGACACATCGACAATGTAGACTGAGAATCTGAAAATGACCATCTTGACAGACATCCGACAATGTAGACTGAGAATATAAAAATGACCATCTTGACAGACATCGACAATGTAGACTGAGAATATAAAAATGACCATCTTGACAGACATCCGACAATGTAGACTGAGAATATAAAAATGACCATCTTGACAGACATCCGACAATGTAGACTGAGAATATAAAATTGACCATCTTGACAGACATCGACAATGTAGACTGAGAATATGAAAATGACCTTTATATTGCAGTGATCGAATGAACATGATGAAATTGATAAAAATGTAAATACACTGGACAAGCAGGAACAAACAAATAACCTTTCAACAGATAAGTACATTTGAGTCTTATGTCTAACGTTTTAAGCTAACTGACAGTTTTATACTCCTTTTAAGAAATTATTTTGCTTTCCCTGAACTTATACATTTGTTAGTTTTAGTTTGTTACTAGATTCATATTAAAAAGGTTTTCCCTAATCCTAAAATTATTTTTTTTAAATAATCAAGCTTGAAAAATTGAATTTGTACACCTTAAAAGAAATCTTTAAAAAAACTACTTTATCCTTTTCAAACATTCAAACCCTAAAATTCATGAAAAATGGTAGAACAACATCTAGGGAGAGAACCTATCAACTCATCAAGTACCAATGACTCCTGTGACACTCTAAAAATATATAGCCACACAAGTTACACACATGACAAAATCCCCATAAAGTGTACATTGTAATGATAAAACCTGCGACATTTTCACTGGAACCAAGCAGAGTAAATCACGCAAACCGCAACAAGCCAAGTATGCATGCTAGAGGAATTGTGATGTGGGGAAGAACGGGTGGGCATTTAATGTGTGAGATAGGGTAAGCATTGCTTAGTACAATTTATTTGTAAAGTTTACAAAAAATTTTGATTATCCTATCTCACACTATGCATTTATCCCATAGTTGGATGGTGGGATGCAAATCCCTAGCAAATCCAAAGCTGGTGCCAAACAGTGATACAGAACAATATTAAGTAACACTGTCTTGTGTCATAAGACAAAGCTCGTGGATAGGTAAGAAACACTCCAAATAACTGTTGTGACCCTGATACGTGAACAAATGAAATACATAAAATCAGGCACAATATGTGTTTATACATAAAGGCTCATAATTGTGAAGCCCCATGATACAATGTACGACTCATAACCCGTTCAGAGATGGACTCCAGCCAATCGATGCTACAAGACGGGTATCACTATCTCCAATGATCTCCCAAGGATGATAGCCCAAGCCAGCTTGGCATCTCTTTTAACTTGTTGTCAAAGCCATCAATCACGCCTCAGGGATAGAAACAGGAGGTTAAGACGAGAAGAGAAACAATCGACCATATCCACAAAAGTATTGTCCAACCAATACCCAACAACCCATGCAGAAGGCAGAGGTGAGTGGAATAGATGATTGGGACACCGGAATCCAGCTGCGCCTGACGGCGACTTCCAGATGAAGACCAAAGTCTCTACAGACTCCAATCGAAAAATCAGTATGGGAGAACCCAAAAAAGTATAATAAATTTAAAGAATAATGCCAAGGATTATTGTATATATATAGAGAGAGAAGGTGTAGTGGACACTGGAACTTGATCGGGTACACACCTCACTCTATCTGCGCAGATGGGTCCTGGGGATTTGCTGTGCGAGAACCAATGAGCCAAGCAGATGCAGACCTTGGACATCAGTCACAAAGATGTCTCGAAGGTAGTGTGATGCGAAAACCACATCAGATTTCCAGAAACATCCTTCCATGATTGTGGCCAAAGTGCAATTACTGTATAAAGCTATATTAGCTATATCAGTGCGAGTTTCATGAGGGTTGGAAGCGACCGGAGCAGATAGACAGTAAAAGCCCGGTGAATAACTGATCAAATCCAAAATGAAATCGTGGTAGGGAAACTTCCGAAAAGGCTGTTGTATAAAGTAGGATAAAAATCGCTTTGTGGGAACGCTGAAGAGGTTTCACCACATCAAGATAGATCCGAAACACACATATGGGACACAAGGATAGGTGTGTTAGAGTAGGACCGGCCACCTTCCAAGAACTTAGCAGTTTAAATATCAAAACAACAATATGCCGCCACGGCCAATTGAGTTAACTCAAATAAATTAATCCTAGTGTTACTAGTATATCAAAGTGGTTAGTTGGTTGTTTGGTTGTTTAACGCCAGCTACATGACGACGGTCTGTAAGTTATCGAGTTTGAACCAGACAATCCAGTGATTGATATCATGAGCATCAATCCACGCTTTTAGCAATATTACAGCAATATTACAGAAGGGTGACATCAGAAATCGGCTTCACACATCATTCCTATGAAAGTGCTGGTCAGAATATAAAAGTGAGTGAGTTGGCTTTTTAAAACCGCTTTGAACAGTATTCCAGTTATATCGCGGCGTGTAAGCTTAATGTGGGAGGAAAGCCCGAAGTGATGTAGGTCTCAGACGTTTTCGACTTCGGTGAACCCGTGAGCTTGAGTATGGTGCTGACAAACCTAGAAACATAATCGGGGCGAACCGGGATTCAAACCAACAATCATAGGTTTCTGGCGTGCCCAATGGACGCAACTCTGCACAGTGAATCACGGCTCCTTAGATGACTGGGCCACCTGTGCCCCCTTCAGAATATATGAGAATTTAGTGCTGGTTAAATGATGAGAAACATAGTTTTTGTTGTTTTTAGGTGTTTACTGGTTAAAGCCATTCGGTTTTGGACACCTTGCTTTAAGACATTATTGGGTACGAGTCATCCAATTTTGGGTAACGATTCTCCAAATTTGAATATGAGTCAACCAAATAAAGTTATGGCAATAATCATGATAATGCTCCAAAACAGAAGGTGACAAGAATTTTCGGTATGGGTTAGCCATTACCATTGGGTACAAGTCTCTGAGGGTATGGATCATCTAGTATCCAACTTGCCAATGGTATGGTTATGTCACTCTAAGATTGAATATTAAGAATGATTTATTGCTTATCTCCATGAAGTAGGGCTCGCCAAAAGGATCGATAATCAGAATTATCGTCGATGAGATTATTAATATTAACAATTATTGATACAAAATTGTTGTCATCGATTATAACTTACATCAACTATAGTGATGAAATAAAGTTTAGATTTACCAAAACAGACTTGTCAATAATGTCAATTGTTGAAGACGGAAAGCATCTCAAATGTCCACAAAGTAATCTGTCCATAAATGTGTCACTGCTCCCCAGTGGAGTGAAATATGTTGATTTCTTTCAAAGACTTTCTTGCATATTTGCTCAAAATTACTTCTCCAGTATTTATCGATAATTGATATTTAGTTATTTATTATCAATCTCTATAATCTATTTTCATAGCCATCCCTACAATAAAGTATGGACTAATTTAGGCGGTATTTGTGATACGTGAAATCGTGGTCTGAATTACCTATGAAGTTATTGGGCATAGGTACTCCCTAAACTCACTACGGGAAGAACTAACAACAAAAACCTCGAGGATCACTTCTATGACGTTGTGTCATTACACTGGATAAGTGCTGAGCTGTACTTTCAAAGTTTTGTTTCTCCAGTAGACAAAGTTAGAGGATTGCAAGTGTGCCCATAATGCCTGGCTGTGGTGCTGCATTCTCATCATGACTTGAATTCATGTCAAGTTTACACTGCCATTAGCCGCTGCTGCAGTGGAGGGGATGGAGAATAGGGATATATTCCTGGACAAAGCAGACAAATGTATAACGCTAAAGGTCATGTTTGCTTAAGTGTGCATTAAAAAACACTGGACACATTGCTGCTTAATCCGTATACTTGATATTCTCCTGACGAAAGTCGAGGACTTTCAACATCGTCAAAAACAAAAACATGCGGAAATTTGTTATGTTTACATTTCAACTCACAAATTCTCGGAATACGACCAATGACAAACTGTACAGAACAAGCCGATGAAAGATCGTGCGGCGTGCAAGCAAATTCTCACCTGTATAAGCCTTTCTGACAAGAGACAAAACAATTAAACTTGATTCAACTTTGTCAAACGTTTACGCCTGAAGCTGAAATCCGTGAATGGCGCTGTGGCGGTGTCTCATTAACTGGTTCCACTGTAGGTTCGCGCAACTGGTTATGCGCTTGTACACATATCGGTAGACGGGAGCCCGGTCAATGTGAATGAGGTACTCTAGAATCTAAACATAGCCCCTAAAATAAGAACAAGAGACCAATACGTTATATCATCCTTAATCTGGGATAAAAATATATCTCTAAAACACCACAAACAGATGCTGACAAGTTTTAATTTTACATATACGCTTTACATCCTGTGTAGAGATATGGTTTGAGATTATAAGGTGGAACCGGAAAAGCGCTCTTTAAGCTCCAAACAGTGTATATAAGATGCGCTCATAGAGTATTTGTCGTTCAAAAAATGTAATGTGAATCAGAGGTTTAATCACAACACACCAACACGTGGTTAAGGTGTACATATTTTCTCGAGATGTCAGCAGAACTTGTGAGAAAGAGTTTAGAATTATTTGAGGACACAAATTTTGAGAAAAAAGGTAGATCTAATATAAGTCACTATCTTTAATGTAATCTAAATCTATATATTGTAACTGTACTGTAAAGATAATTTGATGAATATTTTTACCATAGTTTTAGATCTTCGCTGCTGTATTGGAAGAAACTTTGTTTTCAGATGCAAAGGGAAAGGCAAAGAAACAGAGTAATACAAACAAACAGGGCGTTCAGAAGCAGCATCAACAGCATGCAAGTAAAAAGAAGAAAAAGAAAGCTTTCAGATCTGCAATAGGTATAACTCCAAATTCACCATGCAGCTATAGAGGATCTGTTGGGATCCTGGAACAAAATAGCTTCAAAAAGTCCATTATCACGCATATACATGTTTCACATAATATTGCTGATTTGTGATAACAAAGAGACATCTCAGATATAAATATGACGTCTTTCCGAGGGGTGTCACAATATGCCTTCGTCACATTATTGATATATATTTGTAATGGTTGAGGCGAGATGCAGTACATATTGGGACAGTCACTTTGCACTGCTCTGCATGGAATCCCCATTGCTCAATGTGGCCCAGATAACACAAGGTCGTGCTAGCAACCAGTTTGTGGTTAACCCACTGGGCTCAGTCAAGGCTCAAAATTAGCATTTTGGTGAGTGAGCAGTGATATGTTATATATGTCACCCTGTGGGAATTACGGACTAGAAGTGGTCCACAGCAACCAGGCTGGTCATAATCAGGTTTTGCATGGTGGCATGGTTCATAAGCGTGATAAGCATACGTGTCATCATAGCCAAATATGTGATGCATTGAAGAACAAACACATACATCCATCACGTGTCAGTGGCTACATCCGTCAGGATACCTTGCATTTCACTTTGGGCACATATGTTGGCTAAACATGACTTGTGATACATTGATGATGAAACTTCTATATTTGTTTTGATGAACTGAATCCGCAATTTCATACATGGTGAAATCATGATGGACAAATACCTGTTCATGACTGTGTGAGACCATGTTTTTAGTGTTCAAAACAAAGATAGAGTTGTACATTTTCTTAGAGATGCCTTGGACAGAAAGGGATGTCATGATTCATGAAATGATGCATTAATGATTTACACCTGAAATCAAGATACACAACATGTCTACCTATGCATTGATTCAGTTATATTTCTTTTTTGATTTTCAAAAGTAGGTTGTTGTTTTCAAGTTTTGTTATAACATGGCCTGATGACAACATAGATTAGTGTTACCTTGCCACTATCACAAAACAAAATGCTAAATCTCATTTCATAATTTATTAGAATTAACCTAAATTAACCTGTCGAAAATGTGTTATGATAGGGGGCACCCGCTACAGGTCGGTCGGGAAACCATGAAGACATTTTAAAAGGCATTTAGAAGTGATACACATAAGGAAGAGAATATATGAATGTCAACTTCTTTATTATCAGGAACACAACGTTTCGGAGTATAAGCTTACTCTTTCATCAGGTGAAGATATATTTTAGTTTTAGCCATATGGAACATGGAGAATTTTCACACAAAAAGGTCAGAAATTTAGCATTGTTAAGTATCATGATATGTAGTGATATGTAAGGTAGGCACATCATGACACCCCTACTGAGTAGATTGTAGTCTGCCCAAGTGAGCTGACTGATCAGTTTATGGTTTGTTTCCTACAGAGAAGCATCAGGCTGAATCCCGCAAGGATCACACAGCTGACAACATCCACCTTCTCCAACAACTCACAGATGTTGCCAAAACAGATCAAACTTTCACAAAAAAGGTCAGTCAGAATTCAACAGATGTTGAACCAATTCCTAAATGTCAGATGTTTTATCATGTGATGGATAGTGTTATCCATGTAATAAACCAGTCCAATAAGCTTGGTATCAGATCCAATAAATATGCAAATAAGGTAACCAGCTGGAAGTTCTTTCAGTAAGCACCATTCAATGATGCGTTGCTGCCTCGCGTGGAAAACTATTGCATTATTTTCCAAAACATGTTTAGATGGAGGTTTATCAATGTGTGATCGAGTGCTATGCAAACATGGCTTCAAATAATTTGGAACTATTTATTAATGGAGTGGTTCACTCAAGCATTGTATTCCTACCTCATTTCTAAAGTTACTTCTTTTTTTATATATATATGTACATGCATGTGCTTCTTCTCCCCCCTTCACTCTGAAGCAGTGTGTGGGGCGGTCGGGTAGACTAGGGGAAGACCGGGGTTCGATTCCCAACATGGGTACAATGTGTGTCCCCTGCCGTGATATTTCTGGAATATTCCTAAATGCAGCGTAAAACTATACTCTCTCACTCACTAAAGCAGCGTGTAAATCAGCTTTCCTGCCAGTCCGATTAAAATTACCTTTATTGTTCTAGTGATAGTGTAGTGAGTTTGTATGTTTCATGTAACAAAGGTAAACATGGAGGCATACATTCTAATATCATTGTGCTCTATTAAATGGAATGTAGATGTGTGATCAATTGTTGCCTAATAACTGGGGTAGTGAGACATAACTTGTGGCAGGTGTTGTGTAAGTTTGGATGTTAAAGACAGTGAAATTCTGTTGTACTTATTGTGTTGTTTATTTGGAGTTAGAGGATTGCAAGTGTGCCCATAATGCCTGGCTGTGGTGCTGCATTCTCATCATGACTTGAATTCATGTCAAGTTTACACTGCCATTAGCCGCTGCTGCAGTGGAGGGGATGGAGAATAGGGATATATTCCTGGATGGGTGACAAGCCTGGGAATGATCACTTCTCTGTTTTGACCAGACATCTTGGCAACAATGCAGTTTACTGGACGCAGCTTCGCCCGCTACCAACAGCTCAATTGCCGCGCTATAGTGCCACTGGAGTCTTGCTTTACTGTTGGCATGGCTCATGCTCAAATGCCTTGGCGATCCAACACCCCTTTTCGATCCTTAGGGTTAGCCATAAATTCTTACCTTTTCACAGTGTTTCCCATAAGGGTAATCCTATTAGAGCATAGTCCGTTCTAACGTGTTTCGTCGCTCGATTGGTTACTCATTTTGATTGACAATGACAGGCATGGCTTCCTCAAAAAGATAAAAGGAGAGGGTGTGATGTCAGCATGGACAGTGATGTGCCTGCGCAATTCATTGTTTACTTTGTTGTGCATGCGTGTTAATAAGGTGATAATGACCCGTTAAATGAGCACTAATTACATGTGATGTCACTCTTGGTCTAGTGGTAGAGCGTCGGCTAATTAAGTACTAATTAGCCAAGTGTGTTGAAGCCCCCACAGCGCTAATTGGATCTGAAAAGGGCGAACGGTAAAGTGCACTAGTACCGACTCATTTTGTGTATTTGTATATGATGTTGGCATAGGGTGATGCTGTATACTTGGTTTACCTGCGCCAGACAGAATTTCACATGTCTGACAAAGTCAAGTGATTGTAGTGTGTAGCATAAAACACCCTTCACTCACTAAATTCTTCCAACATTAAGACATGCCATGACAGAACTGAAATACTGTTCAAAGTGGCATTAAACCCACCTCACTCACTGACACGCCATGACATAGGTGACACACTGAGCAGCAGTGTGACAAGTATGAAGCTAATGGCCATCTGTGTACAAGGTCATGTTGACACTGCAGTGTATGCTCTATCTCAGAGCCAGAATATGCTGAATGTGATGACTGTATGAGACAACTGAACTAATTAATATTTCATTGTGACCTTTTGTGGCAGGTATTTGGTTATACAGAGACCAATACATCGCATGAACCTAAAGAAGAGGAGTCAACCGTGTTCACAGAAGCAGACTTTGAGAAGTTTGAGAAAGAATACAACTTCAACTGACATTTCAAGATGTGCAAGTGTGCTGATTTGAGGATCATGTAGATGACAGTTTGTTAAATTCTTTAAAAAAAATGTATTCAGATGGAAGTGGAACTTTTGTATAGTTAAATATGTGCAAATGTGTTTCAAGTACTGTTCTCTCAGCAGAACATATTCTCCATATAAGTCACACTGTATTTGGACATTACTTGTTGCACAGCCGAGTAGGTACATTATTGTTCTGTCACTTACCTCAGGGCTTCATTGTAAGGATTACCCAAACTGTCTGATGAAAAGGACCAATCACAGCAAGTTGGATTCAAGACATTCAAACATCACTTCATATGATTGCACAGTAAACATAAACTGGAGCACAGTCTGTCTTTGCCAAGTGGAGTGATGCAGAATGGTAGAACCACCTAATGACTTTTGACCTTGCTGGGGTGAGCCAGTTGAGTTTTGTGTCACTTTCAGCAGTGTGGCAGCCCTGTCACAACAGGGCACACCATGAATGGGCTTCACACATTGTACCATGTCGGGAATCAAACCTGGGTCTCGCTGTGATGAGCCAACACTTTCACCACAAGGCTAACCCACCACCTCCATAAAGGTGATGAGTTGATTCAGGAGGAAGAAGAAGTAATATATGTCACAGTTCTTTGAAATAAAATTCATACAAACATTTTCAAGATTCTGTTAATCTTTTATTTGCATGTTATGAAAAGGCATACAAACGTTGCAACAAATTACCATATAAGCATGTTTTCATGTGATTTTTTGCAGACTTCTTGTACATGAAAGATTTTGAGACACATTCATCGTCTGCTATGCAGTGAATTTGCTGTGTAAAGTATAGAAACTCCTACCAAAGATGTAAAGAACATACCGGGTATATACATAGCATTCTCCAAATTATATCACATTGAACTGGTCATCATATGATCAAGAAATAACTAAAGTGAAACATTTTTCGGATGATTAGATCCTGCAAGCATGGACAACTTGTTCTTGTCTGAAGTGTATGGCAGCAATCCAGTATTCTTAAATCACAATTACAATGTTTCTTGCATCTTTAGAGTGTTAGCTTATTTCAAAGACAAGAAACTTATTTAGGTCTTGGCCTTCCAGTACATTATTTATGGAACTACTATTATTCCCTGACTTTTCACTTCATGAGCTCAAAATGAATACATATGTACATAAACAAGTCTTTGGCCTAACAACTGTAGCACTTTTAAGACAGACCAATAGGCAGCAATGACAACATCAATAGCCTTGACCTTTGCTGGTGGAGGAACCGGGAATATCATCATCGTGGCTACCAGAACTCTGAAAAAGATACTAAATGTTAGATGTGGAATTTTAACACATAAGTTATGGCGTTTAAGAATCGCAAGATGATCATCAATAACTCAACAACAGTCTTTGCCAGTTAATTTTTCTCTTTAGGCTTACATGTGGATCCCTACATTGTATGTACAACAGCTCAAACTGCTATTCCAGCAGGCAAGTACAACAGCTCAAACTGCTATTCTAGCAGGCTTGTACAACAGCTCAAACTGCTATTTCAGCAGGCTAGTACAACAGCTCAAACTGCTATTCTAGCAGGCTAGTACAACAGCTCAAACTGCTATTCCATCAGGGTAGTACAACAGCTCAAACTGCTATTCCATCAGGGTAGTACAACAGTTCAAACTGCTATTCCATCAGGGTAGTACAACAGCTCAAACTGCTATTCCATCAGGGTAGTACAACAGCTCAAACTGCTATTTCAGCAGGATAGTACAACAGCTCAAACTGCTATCCCATCAGGCTAGTACAACAGCTCAAACTGCTATTCCATCAGGGTAGTACAACAGCTCAAATTGCTATTCTAGCAGGCTTGTACAATAGCTCAAACTGCTATTCTAGCAGGCTAGTACAACAGCTCAAACTGCTATTTCAGCAGGCTAGTACAACAGCTCAAACTGCTATTCCATCAGGGTAGTACAACAGCTCAAACTGCTATTCCATCAGGGTAGTACAACAGCTCAAACTGCTATTCCATCAGGGTAGTACAACAGCTCAAACTGCTATTCTAGCAGGGTAGTACAACAGCTCAAACTGCTATTCTAGCAGCTACCTAGACTCCACTAATTAATGGAGGCCATTACTGTCTATACGGTACCTAGACACCACTAATTAGTGGAGGCCAGTACTGGCTATATTGTACCTTGACGCCACTAATTGATGGAGACCAATACTGTCCATACGGTACCTAGACACCACTAATTAATGGAGGCCAGTACTGTCCTGTCTATACTGTATCTAGACACCAGTAATTAATGGAGGTCAATACTGATGATACTGTAATTATATACCACTAAATAATGGAGGTCAGTAATAGCAATATTGTACCTAGACACCACTAAATAATGGAGGCCAGTACTGTCCTGTCTATACTGTACCTAGACACCACTAATTAATGGAGGTCAGTACTGACTATAGTGTATTTATATACCACTAAGTAATGGGGGCCAGTACTGACTATGTTGTATTTATACACCACTAATTAATGGAGGTCAGTACTGACTATACTGTAACTAGACACCTATAATAATTGAGGCCAGTACTGGCTATACTGTATCTAGAAACCGCTAATTAATGGAGGTTAGTACTGATTATACTGTTCATAGACACCACTAATTAATGGAGGCCGGTACTGGTTATACTGTACATAGACACCACTAATTAATGGAGGCCAGTACTGGCTATACTGTATTTATACACCACTAATTAATGGAGGTTAGTACTGATTATACTGTACCTAGACACCACTAATTAATGGAGGCCAGTACTGACTATACTGTACCTAGACACCACTAATTAATGGAGGCCAGTACTGACTATACTGTATTTATACACCACTAATTAATGGAGGCCAGTACTGACTATACTGTATTTATACACCACTAATTAATGGAGGCCAGTACTGACTATGCTGTATTTATACACCACTAATTAATGGAGGCCAGTACTGACTATACTGTATTTATACACCACTAATTAATGGAGGCCAGTACTGACTATACTGTATTTATACACCACTAATTAATGGAGGCCAGTACTGACTATACTGTATTTATACAACACTAATTAATGGAGGCCAGTACTGACTATACTGTATTTATACAACACTAATTAATGGAGGCCAGTACTGACTATACTGTAAACAAGCCAGGCAGTGACATTCCAATTAATACACAGATATATATAGCCAGGTACAGTACGCAGGTTACAGAGGCCCATGTTTCACTTGACACAACATCGGATACCAAGCAGAATGCAGTGCTCTGTGCAGACTGTTAGAAGCAAAACAATGCTACTGAACTTAATAAAACTCTCAATGCAATACTAAACTGGGTATCCTGTGGTAGCTGCCTACAACATGACTCTCTTCCTTACATCATCAAGTGAATACATGGTCCTACCAAGAAACAGCATAGGGCAAATTTATAAATGTTGCTCAATTGTTTTTAACCTGTACACACACCATACACACAAACTTCTCTTGTCATTCATGGTTGGAAATAACAGACTTGAAACTTGGGCTCAATTTTGTATTCTTGTTGGAATCCTGTTAGGGCTGGGACGGGTAGCTCGGGTGGTGGGTACTGAGTTTAACAAGTATTTGTCACAAACTGACGAAATGTCCCCCGCTTGTATATACACCATAGTACCAAATATGCAGACAATCCAGCGATTAGTTCTTGAGATATTGCGGCAACACCGTTTTCCAACTCCAAAAGCAGATTTGCCTGCTTAACCTTGAAAATGGGGTCAAGGTCACCAAAACCGACTGGTGTCTGCGGAGTCTGTATATACACCATAGTTCTAAATATGCAGACAATCCAGCGATTAGTTCTTGAGATATTGCGGCAACACCGTTTTCCAACTCCAAAAGCAGATTTGCCTGCTTAACCTTGAAAATGGGGTCAAGGTCACCAAAACCGACTGGTGTCTGCGGAGTCTGTATATACACCATAGTTCTAAATATGAAAACAATCCAGTGTTTAGTTCTTGAGATATCGCGGCAACACCGTTTTCCAACTCCAAAAGCAGAGTTGCCTGCTGTGACCTTGAAAATGGGGTCAAGGTCACCAAAACCGACTGGTGTCTGCGGAGTCTGTATATACACCATAGTTCCAAATATGAAAACAATCCAGCGATTAGTTCCTGAGATATCGTGGCAACACCGTTTTCCAACTCCAAAAGCAGATTTGCCTGCTGTGACCTTGAAAATGGGGTCAAGGTCACCAAAACCGACTGGTGTCTACAGAGTCTGTATATACACCATAGTTCCAAATATGAAGACAATCCAGTGTTTAGTTCTTGAGATATCGCGGCAACAAACAGGTGGGACGTACACAGGACGGACGGATGGTCGTGAATACTATATACTATACTATGACAAAAATTATCTAGAACTCTATGGTTACACAACAAGTCACTAATGTTCGCATATCTTTCTGACTATCCACCCATTCCTTCTGATTTTTCATAGGGTTGAATAAAGATATAACTTAATTCAACTTCAGTGTATGAATGACCAGATTGTTTTATACATGTATCTGAATACGTTTTTCCAAGGCTATGCTAAAAATGTTCCCAATCTGAGACATCTCCTGAGGCCTACAGTGGGTACCCAGGTAGGGTTGGGTAATTGGGGGGTGGGTACCCGGGTAGTAAATTTGGACTCGTCCCAGCCCTGAATCCTGTTCTATTCTGTTGATTTCAGTGTGAATATATTGGAGTGAGATACCAACTCTGATCAGTTTTTGGAGATGTAACTTTGCACTGAAATAGTCAACATTTTCTAGCATTGTGAAGTAACCCTGGTAGTGGTGGACATCCTCCAACAGACGACTATGATGAGAATGATTCACACAAATTAAATTCATCACCTGCTACATCACTACAGAGCTTAAACATACCCAACTGATTACTTCAAAACAACAGAAAGCAGAGCAAGGGCTACTGAAATGACGTGAAATTACCCCTAATTATGCTTGTTCACATGTGAAGAACACCATTGCTGACAACATCAAACAGCAAATGATCCAAGCTAACAGTGGGAGGAACACAGTGCCAGTTGAGATGCTTAGATGAAAATGATTCAAGCCAACAACATTCATACTGAGATATCGGACTTAGTTCTAGGTGAGAGCTACCCCACTTGTCTGGTCAAGCCCAAAGCGTAATGCTGTTAGATTCATCATGTCGATACGTCTCGACCGACTGCTGCAAAATAAATCATGAACAAACATGAATTGCTGGTCTGAGTCATCACTGCTGATTGGTTATCCTACTGAGTGATTGGTTATCGATTATCCAGTGTATAATACTTCCATTCTATTATGATAAATACCCAGGACCCATTTGCCTTCATGGCTTTGTTTGGACTCTAGTTCCGACTGACACTAATACAAGTACAGGACACTACAAAATAATCATCCAATCAAGTTACATAACTTTCAAGATTAAAATAAGCAGCAATCTCACAAGTACCAAACCATCTCAAATACAACTGTGAATAGCTGATAACACAAGGACCTTCCTCCCACGATGGAAAACTATTTTGACAGGAAAACAATATTTCCAGACAAATGTTCATTTTCAACAGTCTTCTGCCTAGAATTACTGTAACATGTATGAGGACACAATTTTGAAAGTATAATTTAGCCGAACTTTCTTTACGAAGAGTCTGTTTGATTGGCGATTTCAAACTTGTGAGCAAGAGAAATTCTGTGATGATTTAGTGACAAAAGAAATGAGGATAATGATAATTTTTTGCATTGAATGGATCCATGGTACTTATCACACTGGATTGGCGATATCATACACCAGGTAATCGAGGATGGACTCATACAAACATATAGTACCTTGAGAATTGAGAGGTGTATTATAAATTACTTGTGCATCTAAATTGTAAGCAGTGTTAGCAGTGGTTAGTGTTTAGATGTGGCAGACAATGTCACCTTGAGGGTCAGGGAGAGAGTGAATACCGGCTTACACCACATCACTTTCTGGCTAGATCAGCAGCTTGTCCATAATCAGGGCAAACTAGTGGCAGACGTGAATGATCTCGGGACAATAGCAAGGTTAAACATTGTAACCACACAATCTTCACTAGTGGACATGCATGGGAACTGGGGACCTATTCTGTCACAAGAATCTCCTAGAGGGTATGAGGATTACACATGGGGATACTGAACAACTGTCAATACTGTGAGCTACTGAGTATTCTACCATGAATTCGGAAATTACTCGATTCTCATTGGTCAATCAGAGGTTGGCAAATTACAATAAACCCCCTCTGATTCAATTTGTCAGCAGCATCACTGCAGAAGCTAATATTCCTAGAATAGTACTTTTTTCAGTCATTGTCGGTAGGCATATTTGAATAATTATATCTACAATTATAGGTTACAAAATGTAAAGTTACTACAATATTCAAGGGATGTGTGGCAATACATTTTGTGCAGAAAACACAATAGAAATCGACAAAGAGAATGTACAATTAGTTTTGGAGACAACCGAAAGGTTGGAATTTGGAGATTTTCTGTATACGACTGTGACGTTATATCTTTTGCGTTACAAAGAGCAATGTGACCTCGTAATGGTGACATGCAGTGTAGAATGAAAGCTTTCAAAAGCTTGCATAGTTTTCTTTAGGGATACCCACCTCATGTTAGCTTACCAAGTTGCTGTCCCTATATGCTTTCAGTGCCTGTCATATGTTCGAGTAATTCGGATCAACAACCCACTCAAAACCCTGGAGTCAACCCATGCCGCTTCACTCAATATATTTGCTTACACCAAAGAGTTCGTGTTTTATTTAGTCATAGTAGAATGGAGAAAAAGATACTCTACTCAATGTAGAGCTAGGTTACCTCAAGATGTAACACTAATAAATTTAACATTTGAAACCTCCAAATTCATTTAGCGTAGTTAGATCTACAGGTATTAACCTAGCTCACAGTATGTTTATCTTCTAATCATGCTAATTAACTGCCTTGTCTGCAGTGGTTTAGCTATCAGTATCCTTGGTAAGATATCAAATTTCATAATTCATCCACCCACCCATGCTTTAGTTAATCAAAGGGAAAGGGAAACGTTCACAGATAATCTATGAGCAATGCTACAAGAGACAATGTGTCTAAGGGTGACACTGCATACCTAACAGATGGATCCATACATATACTTGGAAACAAGTCGAGAACCATCTCTTAAATAGTGTCATACATTCCGAGCTGACATACATCTTTTGCAAATATCTACATACGACATTCATCTCATTTCGATGAATGTGTGAGAAACCACCGATACCTGGTCCAACATTTGTACAAGAACACTGTGTGTTCCTCCAGACTTCCTCAACAACTACATCTTATCACAGGATACAAAAGCAGATGGAGCAAATAAAAGGGTAGTCAAAAAACTATTGCCATGGAACCATTAAAAACATGTCATCGGCATCAATTTTGGTTTCTGTGCAATTTGTTGTAATAGTTAATATATAGTAAGTGGTGCTCCTTATTTTTCTGGTGTGTGTGTGTGTTTATATATACATTATAAGTATATGTATCAATACTTCAGTCCACCCGTGAAGCTTCTCCGGGATAGAATAGGCGTTCAGCAACCCATGCTTGCTGTAAAAGGTAATTAGGCTTGTCGTAAGAGGCGAATAATGCGATCGGGTGGTCAGGCTCGCTGACTTGGTTGATGCATGTCATCGTATCCCAATTGCGTGAGTCTATGCTCATGATGTCAATCACTGGATTGTCAGGTCCAGACTCAATTATTTACAGACTGCCGTCATATAGCTGGAATATTGCTGAGTGCGGTGTTAAACAACAAACCAAACCTTATTTTTCAGAGGTTTGTGTGTGTGTGTGTGTGTGTGTGTGTGTGTGTGTGTGTGAACAGTATAAGTATACATATATAAATACTTATGTCTACTTAATTTGCATTTTGTTTTCACATCATCCACTTCATGTTTAATTCTCATGACAGGTTAATAATATGGTCTCATTCTGTTACTACTATGCAATCACATTCAGCATCTTGTGTTGTTTGTTTGTATTGTTTGTTTGTTGTGTAACGCCACACTCAGCAGTCTTTCAGCTATATGATGGCAGGCTGTAATTAATCAAATTTGGACCAGACAATCCAGTGATTGACATCATAAGCATTGATCTACACAATTGGGATACGATGACATACATCAACCAACTCGGCAAACCTGCCCACCCGATCCCCTTAATCGCCCCTTACGATAAGCATAGTCGCCATTTCCGGCAAGCATGGGTTTTTGAAGACATTTTCTCTACCTGGATCTTCATGGGGATATCTTGCTTTGTGACAAGTGACAAGGTAACATCAGCTTGAGTAGTTATCAGGCTGGGTTATTGCACACCTTAATAAAATTACTTTTTTTAAATCAATACAGAATTTAAATCTGAATCTCCACTTGGGTAGGCATCCTATAGTCAGGTGTAAATTTGCAATGCATCAGTGACTAGCTACAACCCTAACTGTGACACTCCCATCTTGCAAAACATCAACACTGATCCAAGCTGATTGTTATAGTGGCATTGACAGATATATGCAAGTACATATCAATAAACTTGCAGTATTTATGCACAAACCTTTTGAACATATTGTGGGTTAACGGTGATTTCTCGATCCATTGTCTTCAACTTTTCATCAAGCTCTATACATTTCTGCATCTGGAAACAAGTAATGAGGATATAGTATACCAGCCATCACACCTAACAACATAGACAACCTTAGACATATGTAAATATGCCTCTAGACACCTTAATAACAAAGTTATTTAATAACATCAGTTTCTGTTTGTGAAAACACATACCTAACACAGTACATTGAAACAAACATGACATGCCTCTAGCCACCTTAATAACAAAGTTATTTAATAACATCAGTTTCTGTTTGTGAAACAAATACCTAACACAGTACATTGAAACAAACATGACATGCCTCTAGACACCTTAATAACAAAGTTATTTAATAACATCAGTTTCTGTTGGGAAAACATACCCAATGCAGTACATTGAAACAGACATGCCTCTAGCAACCTTAATAACAAAGTTATTTAATGACATCAGTTTCTGTTTGGGAAAACATACCCAATGCAGTACATTGAAACAGACATGCCATGCCTCTAGACACCTTAATAACAAAGCTATGAGCACTTCCAGTATGGAGAAACAAATGGCCAATGAAGTACAACTTTGAAACAGAAACATTTCTCATTTAATGACCTTGACCTTCAATCTCAGCTATGAACTGCATAACGACCATGTAGGTAAAGTTTTGTCAAATTTTATTCATAAATGCTCAAGATATTGTGTAAATACAAGCTTTTCGGGACATCTACTTTTAACTAATTGACCTAGGCCTTCAGCATCAAACAATCACTTGCGAGAACATTGCATATGGCAAACTTTGGTGGTGTTACAAATAAGAAGTCTCCATTCAATATTAACAATACTTCCTGAAAGAAACTATTTACAAGTCATTTCAAGCCTTGAAAAAAGACCTTGCTACCGTATTTCACAATCATAACATATGACAGTGTTGTAAGTTACTATAAAGTCATCTAAACTGCTTGCAAAAAGTTTTGATTGTTCATGAAATAGGAAATGTCATTTAATTTGAACCATTTTCCATAATTTGACCTCTAGTGACCTTGACCTTATTTGTATGTCAACCAAACTTTGATGCGATTAAGAACCTGCCTTAGAGAAAATGTATGCTAAGTTCCATGAAATTAAATTCACAAATACTGAGTTCCATCAAATTAAATTCACAAATACTCAAGTTATCGTGTACAAAAGCTTCTTTGACACCCAATTCATATTGTCTGACCTTGACCTTCAAGGTCGTCCACTCATGTGTCTGAAAGTTTTCTCAGGGGTATATAGCAGGTATAACATGTATGAAGTCTTTAACATCTGTCATAGGCGTGTGGATGAGAAGACTAATTGTGGTGGCAGAGCTCTTACGCTACAACATCTCCCCCTCATCCATTTGATGTGTTCTATTGATACAATAGGGATATGCTAGCACAAAGTATCATAATCCATCACTATTGGGTGAATCCCTACAGCCCTGGATGGGTGTGTCCTGTTGCAGTGCAGCCTACCTCCTGATCCACCTGGAGGAGCATGGTTGCGTTGTTGTACTTCTCCGGGCTGTCCTGGAACCGGACCATCCCATCTTTCTGGTTGATGGTTGCATAGATCTCACCATCCTCTATCTACGGACAACAAGGATGTGGTTTAATAATATGCCAAGCTAACATGTATGTGATAGACAGGCAATAATGACTGAGTGATCTGTTTGTTTGGTTTTATTTCTATATTTGTTATTTTATGCTGCAGTCAGCCCTATTTCATCTTTAACTCAACAGGCTGTAAATAACTGATCAAGATCACCCATTTTAAGACAAGTATACATTACTGGGGTCAATTCTAAACTGAAATCCCCAGAGGACAATGACTGAGTGATGTGACGTACGGTAATCAATCTGTGACAAGCATCAATGACAGAACCAAAACAACTGCTACAAACAGATCATGAAGATGAGCAACTACAGAGATGTTGACAGCACAAAGTGCTGGTGGTAGTAGGACTATTGTAAATCAATGTTAAAACAGGACAGTTACAATAATCACTGCAATTTGATGTCTTTGTGTCAATAAATGGCTGGCTGAGTGAGGTGGCAGTTTAGCAATGTTTCAGTCATAGTGAGAGAATACAGGGAAGTTAAAAAAGCCATGTCAGCAATATCACAGCTGTATGGTGGCTAGAAAACATGCTATGATTTCAGTTAGACATGTATGTTGGCTTACTGTGGGACAAAAGCACCAAATGAGTGGAAGTGACACAGGTCTTACAAGTTAAACACTTAAGTGAAGAGTCTTCACAAATATTGCTGGTCCACTCGCCTGAGATCCAATAATGGCAGTCCTCAATGACTAGTAACATTTGAGGGCTGTATCGCCTTTACCCAGTCAACATGATTTGATTTTACTTCTAATTAGTCAAGCAGTACCAGGCTGTGAGTCCCATATTCCCTGGTAGGGTAATGACGGATCAAGAATCACCAGTATCGTAATGAATATTTACACCCATGTCCAGTGGATGCTTGCACAGTAAAGTGATGCACAGTAAATTTGACAGAACAGGGCTTCTCTCTGTTGGTTGATAATGATTGTACGTACCATGTGCAGGACATATTTCTCCGCCTCCTTGGCGCCAGACAGGTGAACTCTGTTGGCCATGTCGGTCAGTGAAAGGGTCTGGAAAGTCTGCAGAGCAAGCAACATTCAAACTGGGAATTCAGTAAATTCTTATACCTTTATTGGTTTATTATGTTTGTTGCTTGTTTAACATCACACTCAGCAATGTTCCAGCTATATAATGGTGGCCTGTAAATTGTCTTACAAACCAGTGATTGATATCATGAGCAACGATCGATTCCATCTAGATACAATGACACACAATAAACCAAGTCACAGATCCTGACCACCCGATCATTAAGTCGCGTCGTACAACAGTTGCTGGGGTCCAGTTCTAACATCCCCACAGCATTGGTACATTATGAATATATGATGAACCTTCATGAATCTATATCAATAACCTATTTTTAGTTTTAGTATGACTGAATCACATGTTCCAGTTAATAGCACATCTGCTACTGAAGTTCAGACTCCATACATTCTTGTAGTTAAAATGGATAGAATTATCATTAAACCACCCACATGTTATCAGAAATGAGCGAGCCACTGTAACTTGATAATGTTCTCAAATTGCTTGATGCTGGGCCATTATCACGCCCGTCACAGGGATAGGAAAGGTGACGTCATGATCAATAGTGACGTCATCTGGTTTGATCTATGACGTTTCCATATTTGTAAAAAGTGGGTCAGTGAAATCCGTGTTGATTGTACTAAATGTTTCAAAACTGATATTGTTTATATTTAGTTGATTACAAATTCTATCCATTTTAGTTATAATAACGGTAACGCTATTTTTCAGGGCATTATCATTTGCAGAAGCCCTCGGTCTTTTCAACTGCCCTCCTTCGTCGGGCAGTTAATGGAAGACCTTGGGCTTCGGCAAATGATAATGCCCTGAAAAATAGCGTTACCCTTATACTAAAGGGCAAGTAAAGTCAACATAGCAACTTTGCAGATTTTAATACTTTAGGGGATACAAAATGGTTGACCAAAAATAAACTTGAACAGGGAAATATAACGAAAACGAGATGTAACATCGTTCCCCAAATGAAAATACTGGGGTTAAAATGGGTTACTGGTGCAATTACAACAATCAGTGCCTGTAAATGTTCTATGGGTGGGTGGTTTTAAAAGTTTTTGGAGCAGGTGCCTTCATCATGCTTATATTAGTTAGACATCAAATACAGTACACATTCAAATTTTCTAACATATCTCACAAACTGAAAATGTCAACTTAACAAAGAACTAATAGGTGTATGTCCAAAAGTGCCAAGCATCTGAGTGATGTATGCACTAAGACAAGGTATCATTAAAAGTAACAAGACATATAACTGAACTAGGATTGGAAGATTGATAAGAATAATTGCATCGATAAAAAACTATTCTAAACACATTACATTCAAAGGCCACTAGACGCCTACCTTTGTAAGTCTTTGTATATTCTTCTTGTACAATGATGTGATGCACTGCTTCACCAGACCAATGTTGTTGTCCTGGAAACAGTCATGGGATCAAACTACCAGATGGTACAAATAATGTATCAAGGAACCTTACTACAGGAGCATCTCGTAGAAAAAAACAGATGAGTAAATATAATTGTAGGGTCCTGAGTGTGCATAAAAGATATTTGAAAATGGATAACTAGAATCATTTAAGTTCAACAAAACTCTTAAGGAGAACATCTCCTTTGTCCCCCTCCCCAACCACCCAAGTCATTTATACTGGCAAATAGGTGGTGATTTTGTGAGAAAGGAAATTGCTATTTTAACACTCTGATGGTGACACTCATATCTTATCCAAATCCCTACACAATGTGTGGGAGTTCAAGCAGATGTCTCTGATCTGTTTGCATTCATTTACTCACGTCTGATTCTATTAATCTGATTTGTGTTTTTAACTTGGATGTATTGCCATCAGGACAATGCATCGATAGTTAAAATCCCAAGATCTTCATCTTGCATCATGTATCAGATGAAGAAGTTGGACCCCACAGTCCCAAACCATTTGTGTGTGTACAACTTACAAGTTCAACCACACTCCATTCCAGTAGAGTTCAGCATAATATGGACTTGAATCAAACAAGGATATCTCCGCCAACCAGTCTAACAGAGGGGTAACTAGCCACCATCCACCCCCAGCACCATCATACATACCCTTGTGAAGGTTTCTGTGTGCTTAGTAACAGTTGTTCGAAGTTCATCTGGGTTGTTTGTTGCATAAGAATGAGCAAGATCATGATATGCTTGACAAAGAGGCTACAAGAGAAACAAACATTTCAGTTAGAACTTAAGTCAGATTTGAGGGAAAACAGCAAATAGTGTCAGATTCAAACAGCTCATTGTTAATGGCACATCAAATCTTTTATCTTCTAAGTGTATATGAAATTAGAAATTATACAATAAATTACACATTTATATACTTATCCTATCTCACACTATGCATTTCTCTTTTTCTTTTGATTCTGAGTGGAAACGTGTCTGAAATAAAAGTTTCCAGCTTCTAAAGTTAATTAACCCTGTCATACCTCACATCGCCATGGTCACCTCCCAGATCTGGGTCATGCGTGCTATGCATGCTGGTTGACCTTCTTGCACTGATCACGTGTCTATCCCTTGTCAACTCATTCTCTTTCAAGAGCGTGTGGACTAAGGAATTGCAATGCGGGGATGGAAGGGTGGGCACATAAAGTGTTCTAAGCCAGACTAACTTTCAACTATGGGCCATAACAAAGTGATCTAGCTAATGTAGTACATTGTTTGAGTAGTTCACTGCAAGTGTATTTGGTCTGTTTGTATATTAGTGCCAGCCAGTTGAACCTGATAGATTCAATCAAGGAGATAAAAACTTATACTGTCAGATAGACGTATTACCATTGCTGAACTTGAGGAAGACACATGTCATGGATCCATTGAAACTATTATTCATGAACAATTACAGATGAATAAGACAAATTTATTAATTCTGATTTTAAGGGAAAAAACTGACATTGCCAGTAAAACTTTAGAGCTAACTGAGGAAGATTTTGTCAAATTCAAAAAGAGATTAGTAAAGGGTGATGAAACATGGATCTACCACTATGATCCCAAGTCAAAATATTAATCCACGGAATGGCACCATTCCTCTTCTCCGGCACCAAAGAAAATCAAGTCTTCAAGATAAGTGAAGAAAGTTATGGCCACTGTCGCTGTATTCTAGGATGTAAAGGATCCTTGTTGATTACTTAGAAAGTCAAAAGACGATTATTGGTGCCTACTATGCTGATTTGCTTCATCGTCAGAGAAATTCTATCAAAGAAAAGCGACGAGGAGTACTGACTGCTGGATTTCTACCTCTTCATGACAATGCCTCTTCTCACACATCTCGACTTGCAAAGGCTGCTGTGCGACAATGTAGGTTCGAATGACGTCCTCACCCTCCATACTCGCCACACCTGGCACAAATTGATTTTCACCTGTTTCCTTAACTGAGAGAACACCTTCGTGGAAAGTGCTATGACAACAACAATGACCTCAAAGCTGCCTTCAATGGGTTTTTCAGGGTGGCTTCAGAAAACTTCCTTCTGACTGGAATTGGAAAGCTTCACTATTGATATGAGAAGTGTATTGATAAGCAGGGAGATTATGTTGAAAAATAAAATTAACAACACTTTCACAATTGTTGGTTTTGTTTGTTAGGCTTAGAACCTTTTGACCAGCCCTTGTATCCCATGGTTGGATGGTGGGGTACAACTTCCAGTCTATAAAGGCAACAACTGTAGGATATTTATGAGAAGCTACAGCTTAACAGTGGTACAATACAGAATACAAACTTAAGTGTCATGAGACAAAAACTCGTAGATAGAAATAAAACACTCTCAAAGAATGTTATGATCCTGGTACGTGAACAGAGGAAAAACACATAAAGTCAGGTACAAAATGCCATGGAAGAAATGAATCCCTATAACGTGGGTGATGTTCCCATTCATGTGCATAAGTGTGGTTCCAAGGATAATACTGACGTTGGTGAAAATCATAGGAGTTGGGGTAATCTCGTGGTGGAAAGTCTGGAGGACAAAGAAGACTGTGTCACGTCAGGTGAATGACCAAGAGCTTCATTGTAGCGTTCCTCCTCCAAACCCAAGCGTGAAGAATGCGAATAGTCTCATAAATTCCCTGATTATCTGTCATAGGATGTGTAACGATCCGTAGGTAAACATCAATCTGTAGATAGGTTCGTCGAACCTCAGGAAAGTATGTGTCGTTGAATGTCCCCAATCCTTAGAGGTTCAAGGACAATTCGAGTCTGTGTTGATCCTTACAGGTTCGTTTATCCTTAAATGTATGCTCTGTTCCCGAAAAGGTTCAGTTAGATGATGTTACTTCAAACTTCCAAGGTCCGACGAACCTTCAAGAATTGGTGATCCGGCGAGTGGTCTCGTTGTATTGAGGTGAACCGAAAGTGGGCGGTTCTAATTGGCGAAACTCCGACTGAAGATCCCTATCTGGAGGATGCTGATCCTTTGATGGTCATTCCGGGCAGAGTGAGGTGACTGTAGACTCCAGACAATTGCATACAATTGCATGAGATTAATGACGACTCTCTTGCAATACCTCTCGAGAGTGGGTTGTTCGCGAGCCTTGGTCAGACGAATCCATACATTGGCCCTGACGAAGGTGTCAAATCTGAGATCTCGATCGTCGAAAAAACCCGTAGGATCAGGCGAGTTAACCATCGTGTGAGTACCTTCCTAGGGTACAATAGAAGCGAGCTCCATGACAGTTGTTGGGAATGATGAAGCAACAGGACGGTCATCAGTAGGGTTCGAGGCAGTACGAGTGGTGTCATTAAGCTGTGATGATGTAAGGAGTCGGTCACATCAGCATCCGAGCCTTTGGAAGCTGTCCAGGGTAGAGTTGATTTCAAAGCTATGTCCGTAGATACAGTCGACATGCCTTCAGTGAGAAAGGAATCGGAATCTCCCTCATCATCCAGCGAAAATATGGGACCAGCGGGGTTCGATTTATCCTGGCCCTCCGGCAAGGAGGATCGGTCCGATGACATAGCCTTCTTAATGAATGTCTTCTTAGACTTGAAGGTTTTTCTGTACTCTTGGATAGGCTAATTGATGATGGCACCGCAAGCCAAACGACAAAGCCAATGCAGGAAAGAAGACGAAAATGAACAAATGGCAAGGGAAAAAACGAAAATGGATTCCCTGAAAATGAAAACACGTCACCACTGTGTGGCGATTTAAAAGAGAATGAGTTGACTGGAATAGACACGTGATCGGCGCACATAGGTCAACCAGCATGCAAGTGTGTATGACCCCAATCTAGGAGGTGACCTTGCAATGTGAGGTATGTACGGGTGAATTAACTTTAGATTAGGTTAGGTTTGTTGTTTTACGCTGTACTCAGCAATATTCCAGCTATATGACAGTGGTCTGTAACAATCGAGTCTGGACCAGACAATCCAGTGATTGATATTATGAGCAATTGGGATCGATGAAATGCTTCAACCAAGTCAGAAGACCTATTCTACCCCTGATCTTCACAGGTCTAAAGCTGGAAACCTTTATTTTCCACTTAGGATCGAAAAAAGGAAGAGAATTGCAGAGTGAGAGGTAGGACAAGTCTAAAAATTTAACTTTAACCTTCTAGAACCCTTCAGTACTAGTCTAAAGGGACTGACATGAGTTGACACAAGGGGTCTTAAAAAAGTATTGGAGCACACATCCTGCACACCCCTCTGGCACCTCCAGCATGACCAGTGTATGATAACAAATCATGGGTACAAAGTAAAGGTGAATATACTAATCCGGGCTAATCCATGTGCTTTCACTGTCTGGTTGCTCATCATCATCATGATTAGGGATTTGATGGGTAGAAAAAATGACTCAAGAATCTGTGTCTCTTAACCTGACCCGGACTCAGTTACCGTTTTCTTTCTTCCATGTCTGCAACATGCGTGTTAGAGAAGTTAAGATGTGGGTTATCTACCATGATCGGGTACTCAAGTCCACATATACTCAGCCACTGCCGGAGTACACAAGTACCCGTCAGATCCCTAATCATGATGATGAAGATTTGATGAACCTACCTTTATGTACCTTGCTACCACCTGGGATGTGTACTTTGGCAGGTTAGGAATCTGAAACACACATCAGTAGACCACTCATTACAAGGATGGGGACAGTGGGGTAGCCTAGTGGTTAAAGCGTTCGGTCGTCACACTGAATGCACGGGTTTGATTCCTCACATGGGTACAATGTGTAAAGCCCATTTCTGGTGTCCCCCACCATGATATTGCTGGAATATTGCTAAAAGCGGCGTTAAACCATAATCACTCACTCACTCATTCACACATGACAAGGATGGAACCCATTATTTTTAGGTCTTTGTATAGGTCAGAATAAAATAAAATCTATTTCAAAATTCTACAGTGGACACATTCATAAATGTTTATTCATACCTATGTGGAGAATCAAACCTGAATCTCCAGTGTCATGAACAAAGACTTTAACCACAAGGCTACCCCACCATGTTCTCACTGCTCAAGAAAACAGGATCTGAAAGGCTTGGAGAGAGCAGTCTCTTTACCTTGTTCACTGAATACTGGAATATATACAGCATTTTTAATCACCACATCCATTAACATGGTTAAAATTCATATTTCACATCAGTTATGATCTTATAAATGATGACACAAAACATTCAGATCCTCTTTGACAGGTAATGTCCTTTCATTCCATTTCTTTGCAAGTATTTGCAGATGTGTTTTATGTGTTGAACACAGGCAACACCCTTCAGACACAAACCTTTCCATGTACAATGAGTGCCACCAAAATGAACTTCTTGTAGGATTCCATCATGATATGGCTGACAGCCATGCTCGGAGTCGTCACAGCCTGAAACAATCAGTGAGACGATCACAATTTTATGCTGAAGGCCAAACAGGATCATTGATGCTTTTATTAGCCAACAAAATTGTAAATATTACAAAAAATATCATAATAAAACATCCTATGTACATCCTATTGTTGAGTCATGGAGCACCTGCGTTGCATTAGCGACCCATTAGAACTGTGTGGGGTCTCCTGGACATGCACTGTTACAAGCCAGAATGGTGGACCCAGTCTACTTACAACTTCAAAACAGTAGAGTGCCCTGTTGTAGTTCTTCAATGCTGTGTAGATCATTCCTCCATAGTAGTAGTACAGCAGGAAGTCCCGTGCATCAAACTGACCGCCCTGCAATGACATACTTAACATTAGTTCTCACTTAGTGGCTGTAAAAAGTGCTGGCTGTCTCGTTTGTTGTTTAAACCACATTCAGCAATATTCCAGTGGTCTGTAAGAAATGAGACCAATTCGAGTCATTGATCTTTTGAGCAATATCCACAGCCCTCCTGGGTACGACAACACACCGTGAACCAAGCCTTGTCATCCGATCCATTAAGTCACTCCTTACGGGGGAGTGAAATGGGGTTAAACATCACGCTCAAGATTATTGCACTTATATAGCAACGTGCATGTGTGTGTGTGTTGCTGCTTGTACTAGTCCGGACTAATACCGATTTTAAAGTGCTAGCCCACTGAGATACCATGCCACCTTTTAACATGAATACCCCACTCAGACAGTACACTGGCTCCAAGCCAACCAGTTTTTGTTTTTGGTCCCTTAATGCCGAGCGCTAGTCAGGTAATTCAAACATGACTATTTTGAAAGAATCATGTCAAATATCCATTCTAAACAAACCATAATGCCGAGCGCTAGTCAGGTAATTCAAACATGACTATTTTGAAAGAATCATGTCAAATATCCATTCTAAACAAACCATGTCCAACAGCCTTTTGTCAGTCTTTAGGCAGAAGGGCAAAATGTTTTATAACAAAACTCAATTCCACACAGCCTATCTGCAAACTGAACATCATGTTTTGAGGCTATTTTCCTTCATGTTCACAGTAGACATTGACTCTGGACCCAATTCATATCATTGCTTTAAAGCAGACTTCTTTTCTCTCTAAGTGCATTAAAGTGAATATATACAAGAACATTCCCCCACATCCAACATCTGTACTTGGGTTTGTGAACACTACATCATCATCCGTGAATACAGTGTAGTAGTGACATGTGTCTATTTTCTGTCTGGTAATGAATGAGGCTGTGTATAAATCACGGAGGTCAAATGAGCCCTCCTGTGTGCATGATGTTTGGACGAACACTTCTGTTGTCTGACATTAAAACACTGTGTAGAGTGCACATGTTGCACAAGAAATACTGCCTATGTAGCCATTGGTCAGAGGATGTTGGATCCCCTTTCAATGGAACCACACCCGTGAACATTCGGGTTAGAATAGGTCTTCAGGGACCTATTGTCATAAGAGGCAACTGACAGGATCAGGTGGTCAGGCTCGCTGGTTTGCTTGATGCATGTCATCGCATCCCAATTGTGTGGATCGATGCTCATGATGTCAAGCACTGGATTGTCTGGTCCAGACTCAATTATTTACAAACCACCGTCATAGAACTGGAATATTGTTCAGTGCAGCGTTAAAAACAAACAATAAAACAAAATCACTGGAACCAGACTGGATTTGTTGGTATGCATTCCTGGGTGATGGAGGAGTGAGTGAGTATGGTTTAACGCCGCTTTTAGCAATATTCCAGCAATATCATGGCGGGGGACACCAGAAATGGGCTTCACACATTGTACCCATGTCGGGAATCGAACCCGGGTCTGTGGCATGACGAGCGAACGCTTTAACCACTAGGCTACCCAACCGCCCCGGGTGATTGAGGAACATAGAGTACACAGACCAATGAAGTATTGATGATACCCTGATACCCTACATAATGCCATGTACAGTACACCACCCCCATGTAGGGCCCTCATTAGTATGTGGTAGTAGGCTACAACTGCTGGGTGGACCACTGCCTACCTCTCTGCTGATGTCTGTGATGTCATGCTGGAGGAAGGGGAGGGCTGGCTTCATGTTCTTGGAAAGTAAACACAGCTGAAGAAAAAGACAGACAATTTCTAAATGACTAAGGCAAAACAAACAAAAAACGATTGGTTCTCACGCAATTGCTTTAGAAAATATAGTGTGAGCGGGTGGTGTTTTTTTTGTTGTTGTTCAAACTATTATCATGATTATGTAAACACATAAACAGTTATGTACAATCAACCTGGGAAAGAGCCTCCCAACATAAATGTATTCCTTGTTGAGTAAAATACCGGAATACAATATTTGACTACCGCTGGACTACCAGTAAGTGCATAATACATGTACACGCATACAATGAGCTTTGATTTCATTTCAGTTGATACTGGCCATGACAGTAAGTACTTTTATAAACTAAATCACCCACAGATAGGGGAGAAAATGTGTGAACAGCTGATTGCTATTTCCAGCTTATTTTAAGAGACAAATACACATGTGATCTAAATCATCATGTCAAGTGATGTTTTATCGTAAATTTCAGGTTTTCATTGACTAAATTTGCAAACAGCAAAACAAGCACAAACAAACTCCTATTGTAGCCATGACCATAACACACGATGCACAGTAAAGCAGTGCGCATGTAAAGGGAAGTAACTGTATGCTATACTGGATCGCACTGTTTTAAGTATTGTAGCATTTCAGTGCCGAATCATGGAATATGCGGATTTTTTTCTAAAATGGAAATAAAAACAAAACGTGCAACAAACTTTATGATAATGCAGGAGGTGCCTTATAATCAAAACAATTATTTTGTTTAGCCTAATATTACATTCATTGTGAAATGGAGTTTAACATCACACTCAAAATTATATCATGTATATATATATATATATATATATATATATATATATATATATATATATATATATAGCAACATGCACACATGTGTGTGGCTGTTTGTACTGGATTTATGTCAGTTAATAGTGCTAGCCCACTGAGATACTATGCTGTAGTTTAACATAGACACTCCATTCAGATACATCATACTGACTCCAAGCCGACCAGTCCTTGTTTTATCCCCTCAATGCCAAGCGCCAGGCAGGGTAACCAGCAGCATCTTTTAACATCTTTTGGCATGACAGAAATTGAACCACCAACCTTCCTCTCTCTGGGCTCACATTCTATCCATCAAGACATAAATCCATATGTTAAGAAAATAATATTTTCATGCTAACTGCTAAATAATTAATTTTAATTATAGATGAATGTCCCGACTGCTAACTACACCCTGTGAATGTTACAAATGCTCTTTAAGATATGTCTAGTTTACCTGACAGAGATCAGCATGGATTGACGTCAGTTGTTCTGGAAATAGCTGAATCTTCTGAATGGCTGTTGTCAACACCTTGATACCTCGGACAGGCTGCATGCAACAAACAAGTTAGAACCCATCAGCAAACATGAGTTATCTACTTGCAGCATTCCTTACAGCAAGCATATCTAAAATATGAGTTATGTCTTTGTTGTTTTACAACAGAATTTGAATTATGTTTTTCTGGATGTTTAAGCAGTCCAGGTTCAAAATGTAAGGCATAATTAAGGTGGTCTTGTCAGTGTTAATCATCAAACACATATGCCACACTCTAGCAGTTGTTTGTTTCCACAGCTTGTACCTGGTAGATTACATGTCGTGAGTATTGAATCCTCTCACTGCTTTTACCATGTTGTTTGTTTGTTTGTTGTTTAACGCCGCACTCAGCAATATTCCAGCTATATGACGGCGGTCTGTAAATAATCGGGTCTGAACTAGACAATCCAGTGATTGACATCATGAGCATCGATCCACGCATTTGGGATCTATGACATGCATCAACCAAGTCAGCGAGCCTGACCACCCAATCCTGTTAGTCACCTTTTACGACAAGCATAGCCTCCTTTTACGGCAAGCATGGGTTGCTGAAGACCTATTCTACGCTTTTACCATGATTACTATCAGACTCCCCTATGTTGTTACCTCTTTCTTCTCTACTAACTTGTGTGTAAACTTGTGGCATAGGTCCGCAACTGAAGACAAGAAGAAACACAAGTACAGTGATAGAGGTCAGCATGTATTAGCAAGTTGGAGCCAGGAAGTTGGACGGCTAGACTGCAGTACACCAGATACCTTCTACCATGTTGGTCAGATTTGTTCTACACAATGTGCAATCGAATTTCTTAGTATAATAGTAACTATGGTTAGGGTTTCTGAATCTTATAGCTACAAGTATCAGCTTATTACAGAAGGACACTTTCAGTCTGCTACCTAATCTTTCAAACAAGTGCATACATCATACAAGTTTGTGTTTCCATGCCTTAAAACTTTGAACAATTTAATCATATCAACATGATCAATATTCAAGCCATACTATATAAACCTGAAAATAAATCTCGGTGACTATAACTAGAATATCTCAAACTCATAACTCCTTACATATTTTATCATTTATGGTCTCCAGGACTTTTGAGTTAGCAAGGTTTCACTGTATGTCATTATGCAGGTTTTACCTTGACCTACAAAAAAGGGGTCCAGAGGACCCCAAAATTACTCATTTTAAGGGTCTTTACAGGAAATATGAGGGTCCTGTAAAGTTTTGTTTGTTGTTTAATGCTGCATTCAGCAATATTCCAGTTATAAGACCGCAGTCAGTAAATAATCGAGTCTGGACCAGAGAATCCAGTGATGGACATCATGAACACTGATCTACACAATTTGGATACAATGACATGCATCAACCAAGTCAGCGAGCTTGACCACCCGATCATGTTAGTCGCCACTTACAGCAAGCATGGGTGGTCCTGTAAAGTAATGTAAGTAAAGTAAAAAATAAAGTAGTGGTGAAGTGCACTGTACTATAAGATTTAACAATTATATTTAGTACTGATACTGTATATCTGTAAATCGTGAAATTAATGCGTCTCCAAAAGAATGTGACCGCTGGCCCCTAGCCAAATATGTGACTCAATATGAATGCAACACCACCCTCCTCTCAAGCATCAGTGGATTTATATCGAAGGAAAATGTCCTCTGTCAGGTTTACAGGAGAATTCTCAATCTTACATTAATCCAATCACACACCAAATAGCACCGCTTAATTGCGCTAAGTAGAGTTCTTCCGCTAAACTAATACATGCACGCTGGCTCGCGTCGGCCGTTGACACAGTTGCAAAGAACAAAGACATCGTGTTGCGTGGGTGGCGTCTGTCTGGACTTGAGTAGAACTCTTGCCTAGAATTTTGATTCAATGAATATTATTGTGCATCCCTTGGGACGCAATTTATACATTTCCTGATTAAGATCATTATCATCCTGTTCATGATGTATGTATGTGAAAGATAGACAGCTACTCACAACTGTCAGTGGCATATCGGACTTGCTCTCCATTGCATGTTGTGATGAATTCTTGAGTCAGTCCATAAAGGGCCTCAAAGTCAGGGATATTTGGAAGATTGTATTTGACACATCTATAAAAATAGAATGTCATGAAAATCATATCAATAAACATGATAAAGAATGTATTGAGTTTCCATGTGATCAATAAATAATATACCATTTGTTTTGTGATGCACATAACCATGATAACACGCTGTGTAATTGTATCTTGGGTGAGCATGGTGAGGGAGGAAGCTGGATTAATACTGCCTTCATTTTAACAGTCTTTCAATTAAATCATGGCATACCTGCTTAATGTCAGAGGAAAGTCCAGACTTAATCAGGCCTTGGATGTTTACCATGACTCATGAACAATGATAAAGAGCATGGACATGATGGATATGGCGCTAACAAACCAAGTCAGAATCGGGGTGAAATACAACCCCATGAACATGATGAAATTATTAATGGCATGATCATAGGATACTGGCTCATGTCACATTGACAAAGGGGTGCAACACTTCATAGCCAATTGCAGCTCCTTAAAAGACTGGGCAATGTGTTGTTATGTTGAATTATACTTTACTTTTTTTTGTGTAATATAATATTTTCAAGTAAATAAAGCAGAAATAATTCAAACATATTTCAGCCAGGTCCAAGATATATGACAGCATACCACCAGGACTCCACTCCCCGTTTAATTCAAACACTGTTTTCATTTCTATTTTAACCACTAACCTTACCATGCCTATGTTTGCTGAAAAAATATATAAAGTAGACAGCCAAACACACAGAGAAAGCATGAAAAGTACACTTACAAAATTCCAAGTATTCCTAGAGAATGCTGCTGCACATCAAGTGTGGCTAAAACAGTATCCAGATGGGCTGCATTCTTGGCCAGAATGTCTGCACTTTTGCTGATGAACTCACAAAGCTGTGTAAAGTTACCTACAAATAAACATTTCACACCGAATGATCAGGTTGCAACTGGTACTGAAAATGAGCAGAGCTCAAATAGTAACAGATTATATGATGAACGCAATATCACACTGTAATTAATGTAATGGTATTCAGAATTACACATTACGACAGACTTGATGTATGTCGCTTTGAAAATAGTTATTATCATCCGCATTAACATGTTCAGTAGCATATGATCGAAAACCGGACACATACATTTAAACAACGAAAAACGCATTAATAAAGGCATTAGATACGATCAAACCATAAACAATCTTCAAAACAAATTATCAAGTGTAATGTTGCAAATCTGAAACTTCAAGAAACCACCATTATTGAATACCTTGTGAAGATAGAGTCTGAACAGTATTCACGTAAGTCTCGAGTGCCGACGCCATTTTGGAAATGTCCGCCCCCCGCATCACGGACAAACAGCAATTTGTCCGGAATAATCACAAAACGGCACATATTCTTGCACGTCATGTTTACTCTAACAACTTTGGACAGAATATAAAATTGGGACATCATCAAATTGGATTTAATCATTTATGGGTTTTGTTCAGTTTTTAGGTGACACAGCACACAATGTCTGGATCTGGACATTGTGTGCTGTGTCACCTAAAAACGGAGAAACTTAAATTATAAACCTCTGGTGACGTCAACACTACACAGTAACAGAAGGCTGTTGAAAGTGTTGGTAAACTTTCAAGGCAGGCAATATATGAACAATGCCAAGGACCTGATGAATACATTTCAGTTATAATACCTAGGTTTTGCAATTAATGTTTCATTAACTCGCCTCTTGATGATTGATGATTGGTTAAAAGTCACAATTCTTTTAGCATGAAAATTCCATGACGTGAATCGAACGGGTTAAGTTTTGTAACCCACTATTTTCCCACTGAGCTAACGGGGCAGGTGATAAGAGGTTATTCAGTTTATCATGTCATGACTCCAGCTAGTCCATGCTGCACTTTTTATGCACTTTTTTTATACCGAAATACCCTGTTTTGTGTCACTGTAAGGTTTGTCGATGATTTCTTTTTTTTTCTGGTATTTTTTGCATTTAGACGGTTCATAAGTTGGATAAAACACGCCTCCGAGGTTTTGGTTGAAAAGGTTTTACATTTTCAGCCCAAACCTCGAAGACCCGAGGTCTTTACCCGTGCTCAAGGTTTTACATTTTCAACCAAAACCTCGGAGGCGCGTTTATCCTATACTTATATAGGCCTAGAACTTAATTATTTATTTACGAATTGCGTAGATCTAGCCTTGGAACTGGGGACACAAATAATTTCGTCTTAAATGATTGAAAACACAACTATTGAACTATTTCTCCTCGGACAAAAGATTGAAAGGTGAATGCCAATCGGAGAGTCTTTTCCAAAAGACCTAGCACTGTCTTTCTTGAAATAGCATTATGACCATGCACCTATAGAAAAATTAAAGAATATCCGCCAGTTCTTCCTAGTAAACCCCCAAACGGAACACCCAAATAAGTATCACACACACGTGTTATCATCACCTCTCTGACACACAAAAAAGATATTGATATCACACGTTCTGCTCCTCATATGAGATTCCCTGCAAAAGTGTCGACATGCTTATTTAAAACTATCAACACCGTGCCGAGTGCGCATGTTGTTTTTCAAGAGCCTCGGTGAGGTTAGTGACTATGCCATGTGGGTGTGAGAGACTGAGTCATCGTGACGTGAGTGACTGTGCCATATCGTGCATAGCTGCCCATGCTGTCAGTCAAAGGAAAGTATTTTACAAAAGCCTCGAGTGCACCGAAGAGATATCAACAATTTTCCACCGAACCGCTCATAAAATCTTGTACCTTAGCCAGGCAGGACATTCTGCAAATTATCATCCTGGTGTTTTCGTTTATTTATTTGTTTGTTGTTAAACACCACATTCAGCATTATTCCAGCTCTTATGACGACTGCCTGTAAGTAATCTGGACCAGATAAACCATGCAGTGATAGATATTTACGAGTAACGTCCCACGCCGTGGGGTACTACGATGAACTCATGAAGCCTCACTACCCAATTTATTTTGTCGCCTCTCAGAACAAGCATAGTTAGCTGGGGACCTATTCTAACCTCGACTCCAGACAGCCCACCAACGAGAGATTTGTTCGAACGTTATACCTATATTCAGTGTCATCTCAAATGCCGCTCTCTCTCCCATGTATGTTTCAAAGAGTTTTGGGGGGCACGGGTGGCCAGGCCGTCACGGGTGGCCACGATTCGCTGTGCAGAGTTGCGTCCCCTGGGCACGCCAGAAACCTATGATTGTGGGCTCGAATCCCGGGTTGCCCCGGTTATGTTTCTAGGTATATGTTTTTTTTTGTTAATTTGCTTTTTTAATATGTAAGACCTGAGAGTAGTCTGACTGAAGCAATCTAGACTAGCTAAAGTATTGTAGACTTGCAGAGGAGTTTTCGGATGTTTTTGTTTCAGTCTGTATGAGAGATTACTACTCCATTTAATTTCCATTATCCACCGGGGGCACGGGTGGCCCTGTCGTCTAAGGCGCCGCGATTCGCTGTGCAGAGTTGCGTCCCTTGGGCACGCCAGAAACCTATGATTGTGGGTTCGAATCCCGGTTCGCCCCGATTATATTTCTAGGTTTGTCAGCACCATACCCGTGCTCTTGGGTTTCACCGAAGTGGTAAACGTCCGAGACCTGCATCACTTCGGGCTTTCCTCCCACATTAAGCTGACACGATGTGTGACATAACTGGAATACTGTTAAAAGCGGCGTTAAAACAAACTCACTCACTCAAAGAGTTTAGGATTCCTCCAACAATTACAATGTGATAACTTACTTTGGAAATGGGTCATGTATGTTAACCGGAAACACTACGGCTTATGGTGAATTAGTGGGTGAGTGAAATGTAAATGCGAACAGTATGTCAGTTATATCACGGCGGGTCTGGTGGGTGTGAGAGGAGTAATGATGCAGGTCTTAGACGTGTATCAGTTTAAAATGGGTTGAAACCCACGAGCATAATCATGGCGAACTCGAATTCGAACCGACGATCATAGGTTTAAGTCTGGCATGCCAAAGGGACGCAACTTCAGGCCACAGTGACTTGCGACGCCTCAGGCGACGTTATACGTTGCGAGACACATGAAGACTGATGTATGTTTGAACAGGTTTTATGTGAGGTTACTGTTGTGTACAATACACAATTTAGCAATGTGATTATGTGTTTGTGGGGGATATTTATTTTGTTGTATTTCTATCAGTCCCAAAGTGTAACGATGGTAGTGGTGTTAGAGTAGTATTTGTTCATGCAGAATTTGTTTATGGAATAACACCGCAGCCAGAAATGTTCCAGCTATCATCTCACAGCGACCTGAATATATTCGGATCTGAAACATGTAGGTTATTATGTCCAGGATCACGGAGCATGATTCTACGACAAGTGAGCGAGTATGGTTTTACGCCGCTTTTAGCAATATTCCATCAATATCGCACATTCGGGAATCGAACCCGGGTCTTCGGCGTGACGAGCTAACGCTTTAACCACTAGGCTACCCGACCGCCCATTCTAGTAGTAGTAGTAGTAGTAGTAGTAGTAGTAGTAGTAGTAGTAGTAGTAGTAGTGGGACTCTCGGCGACTTGGTTGATGCATGTCATCGTATCCCAATTGTTTGTTTGTTGTTTAACGCCAATTGCGTAGATCGATGCTCATGATGTCAGTCGCTGGATTGTTTGGTCCAGTCTCGATTATTTACAGACCGACGTCATATGGCTGGAATATTGCTGAGTGTGGCGTTAAACGACAACAAACTTACATACAAATTTAAAGGAACTTTAAGCAGACAAGGCGTGTAGGTGGTGGCAAATATCCGCACGCAGAGTTGTTTCCCTTGGTATACAGTGCGTCTGAGGACATTTTCTGTCTCATTTGGTTTAGTGGACTGTCTGCCACCACACTGACCAGGGCCATACTGATGCCACTCACGATGCTGCTGCTGATGATGATGAAAACACTTGTTGCAATTAAGGTACTCTAAATGAAATGCCATCAATACATTATCAATACTGTAAAAACCGTTTTCTGTAATTGTACCAATATTGTATCCCACTATTTCGAAAAATAAGTGTAGATGTGTGTTCATACGGTACAGCCATATGTACCTCTTAAAACAAACCAGTCATCTGGAATATTATTGATTAATGTGTATGCTCCAGCAATACTCTAGCAAGTCTGTGTCATATAAGTGTCATAATGCTCATGGTGACACACCACAAAGTACACGACGTGCACAGGTTATAAGACTCTAAATTAACTTTGCTGCAACGTGTCATGTGGATATCCATTGTCACCAGCCCCATGCATCACACGGTGCACGTGCATTATCGTCAGGATATGTAAGGCACACAGCACACGTGATCTACATACCGTATATCTTCGATTAAGCGCCGGTGAGTGAATACAGTACTCAACGGACAAAGAATAAGCGCCGGGATTATATACTTCCGGGCGTTTAATCCATTGTGAATAATGTCCATCGCAAAGGTGAAATTTGCATTGCTAAATATGTTTCAAATACAGTAAAGTGCGGTTATAACGAACTCAAAGGGACTACTAATTTTAGTTCGTTATAACCGTAGGTTGTTATAAGCATATATACAGCATAACTACAGCAAATAGTCGGGACCAAAAAAGTAAGTTCGTTATATCCGTAAGTTCGTTATAAGCGTTTTCGTTATAACCGTAGTTTACTGTATTATGGTAAAAATGTAGTCAAGAATTTTGTGCGAAACACTAAAACAATCAGGGAAATGCATTTGTCTGTTTTTTTAGGCTACCCACCATGGCTAATGGAATAAACATTTCTTATGACATATGGGGCGCAGATCAACAATAAACCGTAAACATGAGTGAGTGAGTTGTGTTTAACGCCGCTTTTAACAGTATTCCAGTTATATCAAGGCGTGTCAGCTTAATGTGGGAGTAAATCCCGAAGTGATGCATATCTCGGGCATTTACCACTTCGGTGAAACCCAAGAGCACGGGTATGGTGCTGACAAATCTAGAAACATAATTGGGGATTCGAACCCACAATCATAGGTTTCTGGCGCGTCCAAGGGACGCAACTCTGCACAGCGAATCGCGGGGCCTTAGACGACTGGGCCACCAATGCCCCCTAGTAAGAGGAGGTTTGGTGGGGGACTCTGGATATATTTTCAGAATGCGTTTTTCTAACATATACCACATATACCAATCATCGGATGTGACCATGTAGACAGGATTTCATTTATGTTTTAGACTTTTACAATTTCCGAATGACCAAACTCAGTATTGGTGCTTGAGAATACCAAGTTAACAGGTTATTATCAGAGGAAAATTGAAGCGAATGCTTGTGAACACCATTTAGATTGATCTTTAGGATTTAAAACAGTTTTACTTTGGAAGTCACTCAACCACTTCATGCATTCTACGTCAAAGACGACTAGACTTGGCTGGAATCCGTC